TAACGTTTACTTATTTTTGAGAGAGAGACAAACAGACAGACAGACAGAGTGTGGGTAAGGAAGGGGCAGAGAGAGACAGAGACACAGAATCGGAAGCAGGCTCCAGGCTCTGAGCTGTCAGCACAGAGCCTGACATGGGGCTTGAACCTGTGAACCATGAGATCATGACCTGAGCCAAAGTCAGATGCTCAACCAACTGAACCACCCAGAAGCCCTGGGAATATTTCTTTTAAAAAATTGTACGTGTATGGGGCACCTGAGCATCCAACTCTTGACTTCGGCTCAGGTCATGATCTCGTATGTGTGAGTTCAAGCCCAGCATTGGACTCTGTGCTGAGAGCTCAGAGCCTTGGGATTCTCTCTTTTCCTCTCTGGCCCTCCCCCACCTGCTCTCTATTTCTTTCTCAAAATAAAAATAAACTTTAAAAAGTTGTACATGGAGTACAAGCACATCACCAAACCTCAATATTCTAATCTAGGAACGGAAAAAAACACTCCTTCACCCTAACTTCCTTATCTGTATCTCTCACTGTTCCCGTCATGTCAGATTCTGAGTGAGTTGTACTGATTAATCTAAAAGGTTAAGGGATACGTGATTGGTTTCAATATAGTCTCAGATTTTGGACTCTAGACTAGAGGTAAAACATGAAAAGCTGAAGAATGAGTATCCTCATAGGTTTATCACAGGTCTTGACATACTTTAACATTTTACAGTTGCAGTGACAATTAAGTTGGGTCAACTTATGTCCATTTGGGGTCAAGTAGTATGGTACGGTGAAAAAAACCCAGCAGACAGACCTGGCCTAAAAACTGAGTTCTCCCCCTCACTGGCTTTGTGACCTCAGAGCCAGGGTTACTTGACGTTTCTGAGCCTTACTTAGTTTGCTCAACAGTAAAATACAATGACTGATCCCTATTGCACAGGGCTGTGCATGATGAAGTCAGCCGCCATATGGAAGCTGCTGCCTCTGTGCTTGGCATACAGTGTAGGGGGGGTGATGGTGGTGATCCGTATTCAAGTGGTTACAAATTTTGGGTGTGAGGCAGCAGTGGGTGGCCTGAAGTTACAACAGAAACAAGACACAGTCTCTGTCTTCAGAGAGTTTTCAGTCAAATGCCATTTGTCAAGCAATTATTCCCAGTAAAATAGTTGATGTGGAAACAGACTGACTCTTGGTTGCATCTCTCACATAAAGACACGAGCAGGGCCCTCGAAGGTCCTGGTGTGTGTTCAAGAATTACTCTTCCAAGAGGCAACTAGTATTTGCTGATGGCGTGCTATGGGACAGGTGCCATGATAGATATTTACAAACACTATCTCATTTCTCCCTGTGATAACCCTATGGAATTGGTGTTGTTATTCATGTCTTATAGGTGGCCAATATCACTTCACTAACTGACAGACTTAGGTTCAAGCCCACGTCAGCCTGCCTTCAAGTTGTCCACCACCTTCGACTGTCACACTCCCACTCTTGTAGCATTGGACAGTTTGTGACTATAAATGAAAAACACTCTTGAATTAAGCCTGTATCCTACAATACTGGGATGGCTGTCTCAAAGGAGAGTTCTGAGGAAGGAGAAGGGAATTTTATTTTATTTTGTTTTTTATTTTTTAAAATTTACATCCAAATTAGTTAGCATATAGTGAAACGATGATTTCAGGAGTAGATTCCTTAAGCCCCTTCCCCATTTAGCCCATCCCTCCTCCCACAACCCCTCCAGTAACCCTCAGTTTGTTCTCCATATTTATGAGTCTCTTCTGTTTTGTCTCCCTCCCTGTTTTCATATTTTTGTTTCCCTTATGTTCATCTGTTTTGTCTCTTAAAGTCTTCATATGAGTGAAGTCATATGATTTTTGTCTTTCTCTAATTTCACTTAGCATAATACCCTCCCGTTCCATCCACATAGTGGCAAATGGCAAGATTTCATTCTTTTTGATTGCCGAGTAATACTCCACTGTGTGTATATATATATATATATATATCTTCTTTATCCATTCATCCATCGATGGACATTTGGGCTCATTCCATACTTTGGCTATTGTGGATAGTGCTGCTATAAACATGGGGGTGCATGTGTCCTTTCGAAATAGCACACCTGTATCTCGTGGATAAATGCCTAGTAGTGCCCCTGCTGGGTCGTAGGGCAGTTCTATTTTTAGTTTTTTGAGGAACCTCCATACTGTTTTCCAGAGTGGCTGCACCAGCTTGCATTCCCAAGGAGGAGGGAATTTTTACAGGGCTTTAGCAGCAGAGGTCAGCCAACAACTGGTCAAAAATTTGTATCACAGATTACCAGCCATTGGCTTCTTGCAGTGATTTGGATTTAACAAGATGCATGGAGGAAGTTAGGGGCTAAAGTCATGAGAGGGAAGAGGTGAGGAGGGACAGCTCCTAGGGTCAAGGACAGGCAAGACCATGAGGGCCACAGCAGAGCATTTTTGGTCCTTCAGGATCTTGTACACCAACAACTTGGTCTCTTTTTAAACCATCTGCAAAGGTTCAGAAGTAAGGATCTTTGCCTGTGCATCTACCCACTGTTACATGGCAGAATGCATCTGGAAAGATCAATTCTTTACCTTAGGATGTGTGATGTTACCACCAGTGTGATGTTTGCAGTTGTAATGCTTAATGAAAAAAGTCCTGACCTGGAAGCAAGAAAACAGGGACAACTGCTTAACCTGCTTGAGCCTGTTCCCTTCACGTGGCCAGGATGAGATGATGCAAACAAAGCTTGGGTGAAGTAAAAACACTCACTAAATATTAAGTACGGTACTAATGTTATTAGGATTATTTGGGCTAAGATTTCTGTAGTAGGGAGATGGTGAACTGCCTCATGTATTTCATCAGAAGAGGAGAAAGCTTGACAGACCAGCCAATGCAGAAAGAGGCAGAAGCTGACTCGGGAAAAAAAAACAAAAACTCTCAGTAGAGCCAGTGACGTTAGATCCCTGTTGGGAAGGGTCTGGTGGCAGCTCATTTCTCTTCTGCCTTCTTGATGAAACAGAAGAAGTGGGGGTGTTGAATGAAAACAATAACCCCTGTAAAGACCTGGGAGATGGGTTCCTTTGTTTTGAACTGCTGTCAAAACAGAACTGGTATTCTGTGCCTTCCCGCAGCGGCATCATAGAGGATTCCAGAGCCTCCTTGTGTCTGAGTTCACATTCTGTCCATTTTAAATTCTCATGTCAGATGACTAAAGGCTTACCAACAGTATCAAAAGTTTGGGTACAGGGGCGCCTGGCTGGCTCAGTCAGTGGAGCATGCAACTCCCGATCTCGGGGGTGGTGAGTTCGAGCCCCAGGTAGGGTCCAGAGATTACTTTAAAAAATAAAAAAAAAAGCTTGTGTATATTGGAATCTAGTCTTTGTATATTAACCATGGACAAGGGCATGTGAAAGCTACGTATAGTCGCTGTCCTGAGCTATCTTGGAGCTGGACTCATTGTACCTCAGAGAACTTTCCTGTGAAACTTTTGTATTCGTAGGGAGTGTGCATTTAGCTGTGGGCCATCATGTCTCCCAGGGTCCTTAGATCAAACAAGAATCTGGATGGAGGATTGCAGACCTCGTGGGGCGTGTGTAGGAGAGTCTGTGTGAGAGACCTTGTCATCTAGCCTTACTGGTCACACAGATTATTCAGCTGAATCAAGTTCAATACTACTGCCTAGGCTCTATACCAAGAATTTAAAAATAAAGTGGAAGTAAACTACAGTACCTTTGTTTTCACTGAATGTCAAGCAGGTGCTAGCAGCAAAGTGCCGAGAAGTTATTCTAGATGCATAGAACCCTGCAGTGATGTGTGACGTTGCTTTGGGGAGTAATTCACTGCAGTAAAACATTCCTGACCTACAAATGAAGACCTGCTATGTTTATTAAACCTTCTGTTGCACTTAATTTGAACCAAATCTAACCGAAATAAAAGTGACTATGTCTGGGTCTTAATTAGTTTTTCAGTCATGGCCTTTGGTTACAAGGACTTTGGACTACATGGTAGCTTTCGTCCCTGATGAGAAATTAGGATCGCATCATCAAATTTCATTTCATTTTTAGTTTTTAAACACATTGCTTTGAAGTCCGCTTTAGTCTTGTTTAACTCCCAAGTAAGGTTTTGATTTTTCACATTGAATGATTGAATTTCTAATAATTAGACAAACTTGGTTTTGATTTTTCCAAATCCATTATTATAAAAGTTTGGTCTTTGTGTAGCTGCAAAAGTATGATCAGTTCTTTATTAAACAAATGTAAATTTTCCACTGGGTGAACTGTCTTCAAAAAGGTTCCAACAATGGGATGATTTTCCATGCAAATCACATTTTTTCCTGAATTGTTTTCTGTCATCATGTAGCTGTAATCGGGGGAGGTCCTATTCATGTTATAATAGTCCAAATGGAGCACAGAAAGGAAAGCACATTTTTTTAATTAAAATATGACAAGCCTTGTAATTATGGATCAAGTGTATATCCCTGGGATCCACTATTACTCTTAATTTAAAACAAGTATTAACTCTAAAAAAGTAGTAGATTAATTTGTTATATTCTATGCTATATGTTTCATCTCAAAAGTGTGATTTCATCACTAATAAATAAAAGTGTGTCCATCTCCACAAATATGTCTGAATTTCCTAAGTATTGCATTTCATACCAGCCATCCAGGCTTACCAAGTACTGTCGTTTTCTTCAAGGCAAAATCTTGCAACATTCTTAGAGAATGAAGATGTAATTCACTAATTCACAAATTGCTGTCATTGTTGTCCTCTGATGTGAACTTTGTCTTGTATTACCTGTGAATAGAGTCTCACCAGTTTGTCTCAGGGGTCTTACATTTTATGTCAAAGAAAAAAACAAAACCCAACTGAGATTTTTTCCAGAAAATACTTCCACAAGATGTGGTGTTTCCCATTCCTAGTGATCCACTTATAGTTAAATATAATAAAGCAGAGGTTCATTTTAATGTCAATAGCTATAAATCTGAAAACACTTTTCTCCTATCAGGTTTTGCTATGTCTCTGGCTGATCCAGCAGAAACAAGTGTAGATGAGCACCTCCCCTGTGTGGCCTTAGGACCCAGGAGGAGGTCTGCAGAATGCACGGGAACCCAGGACGCAGGTGACTGTTCAAGAGGCAGCCCCAGTCACGCTTCTGGTAGGAGTGTGGATTACAGCAGATCTCAGTGTTCCTGCAGAAGTTTAAGTTCTCCCTGTGATTATTCAGAAGACTTTCTCACTGAATGTTCTGAAACAGCTCGTAATAGAAATTATTTAGAGAAGACTATGATAAGAGAAAAAAAGAATGAGAAGAAAACGTATAATGTCTCTAAAGTCTCCCAACCTAAAGGTAAGAAGCAAAATTTCCCAAGCAAGACCAAACTTCTGTTCCCAATGACATTATTATTTAATGCACTAGTATTTGAAGTCGTCCCTATTCAGTTTTATTGTTGTCCCCTATTTCAAATGTGTGTTTATAAATGAACTTGTATGGAAGGAAATAGAGAAATTGGGAATGATTACAAGATGGCAGGAAGTTAGGCTGAAAACATAAAACCTAGCCCTCTTGTACAACTTACCCTGCTGGAGCCTACTAGTGAGGTTAGTTCCGTTTTTAGTTAACAGGTGGCCTTGTTACAGAGTACCACGACACTTGGACTTTGCTGGCCTCTTGCCTCGCATCCCAGCTGAAGAATCAAGGTTTGAATTGCCAATGAACTGTAAATACCCGAGTCAGCACCCCAAGAGGATGGTCTACAAGTCCGGTGAGGCAAAGATCATCTTTTGAGACAGAGGTGGTTCAAAAGGCTGTTAACAAGGTCATTCATTCCCTTGTGGACCGTAAGAGTACCAACACCAGTTCCTAACTGTCCAAATGGAAGTAGCCTTGTGATGTCCTTGACCTCACTCCCTGCCTCCCTGCCCAGACTGTGAACACCTCCTCCCATTTTAGGCAATCCTGGGCTTATAAATATTCCTAATATGGAAATGGCTGAAACTTTCTTTGGCTGTGGCCATCAGAACTGCCATCAGTGAACAGCTGGAAACTACGTCAATACTATGTGGACAGCATGTCTGCTGTCAGGTGTACCCCGTGTCTCCCCCCCGCCAGCCCCCTGTGACCAGGTGTGCCTAGGACTCCCTCTGCTACCTCAGAGTCATCTAGAACCTTCAGGTCCCCTTCTTCCCAGCTATAGGGTAAGGATTCTTCATCTTAGTCGCATATCTCTGGGCTGCATGAAAATCTTTGCATTTTTTATGTCTATTTACATTTGTGAACTCTTCTAGGGAGAAGGACCCATGAGCTTCCACCAGATTCTCAAAAGGCTAAAAGCTCCTTTTCTAGAGAGGTAGGAATCTTATGCTCACGGTCAAGGCCGAGGGTAGAAGATGAAAAGCCTAGTTCCTTCTGTCACATGGGACTCTGTCAAAAGAAGTCTGTTTGTGGCATTTGGAAGAGATTATCACAACAGAAACTACATCGTGGTTAGGCTCCATCGTGGTTATGATCCCCTATCCACGTCTGAATTTACAAAACTCTGAAAAACAAACAGTTTTTATATCTTTGGTACCTAAACTGATTCAGCAACAAAAACCAGATCTGAACTAACATGAGACTGATCTTTATTTCAGTTAGTGTGAATAGCCACATATTTCACAAAAATATTCTTTGATTAAAGTATGCTATTCCCAGCCCTACTGGAAATTCTATGGGAAATACTGTATATGCGCCAAAATAATAATAATAATAATAATAATAATAATAATAATAATTCAGAAACAGTCTGGCTCCAAGGTTTTATGACAGGGATCATAGATCTATACACTACACTTTGTATTGATTCTACACTTCCGTGGGGCTGTATGAAAGGCTGTTAGCATTTATAAAACTATTTCTACACGAACTGCACTTTGAGTTCTAAGTGCCTGACAATTTAACTTTTAAAAATTGCTTCCTCATTTATTTATTCCACAAGTATTTATTGAGTTCTTTATGCGAAACACCTGGTCATAAATTGGGAGCAGCCAAAATTAATTTTGTCACTTCATTAAGAGTAGTTTAATCATTGGGCTAAATCTGCCTCACTACATGAAATGAGATAGAAACGATAAATTTGGTCATTCTTACCAGGCAGGGGTTAGTATAATGAGATGCAAAATCATTAAGGACTAAACTCTATTTCCGTTTTCCATAACCTTGATTAGTATACAAGTATGCATAATGTCTATAGAATAAATTTATTCTATGTCACTCAAATACAAGTGGTATGTTTATCTTCTGAAGCAAGTAAATCTGGTTCATCCTCCCCCAAGCACCAGCTAGGGTAGGCAAACAATTCAGTCTCAGATGTGTTTGGGGGAAGGAGGGAGTTTGGGTGGCTTTACACAGACCGGACACTTGGGGAAGGGCTTCTGGTCCTTCATTTGCATCACAAACATTCCTTGCCCAAGCACATGGGGTCACCTCCTGTTTTCAAAGTACACATGCCCTGTACGTACATCTCAACCTGGGACCTTGGCAGGTGTGCGCATGGCCACAGGGATTAGTCCCCAAGCACCCATTCATGCTGCCTCTGTCCTCCCGTCACTTGAGCACAGTATATGTCAGGGACATAAGCCTCCACAGCCCACAGAACCCACCACCCTCATCCTTCTAGTCGCAGGGAGAGCCCTCTCTCCTCCGGGAAACACATCACCCAAGAGTAGTGAGACATTGTAAGTTGGGAGTCAAGTTTCGGTCATGCTGGACGTGGTGTAGAACATGACAGTCCCCACCCCACCCCACCCCCTGTTTTAATCCAGCCTGATCCACCTGGGTCTGGGCCTTTCCCAGCCAGTGCCCAGCCTCAGAGGTTGACCTCTGCTTTCCAATTTTCAATGTGCTCAAAAACCTATTCCAAAATACTCAAACGTTCAACCACAGCCTTTATTGAATCGTTCCCAGTGGGAAAATAAAGACCTGTGGGGGCACAGTTGTAAAGACCGCCCATTGATTACTGATGTGATACGGATACTGTAATCGTTGCCACATCTATGTGTTCTGTCACAGTCACAATTGAGATGCCTTGTCCCCAGGAAGCACCTTCCATTTCTGTTGGCTCGTGATTTCCATCACAGGCAGAATCACCTTTTCCACCACCTACACCAAACATATTAAGCCGTGTCTCAGGTGACGTGTCCACATGTGGGCAACAGCTTAAGGCTAGGACTCCAGTGACACTGGCCACTAGATGCTTTCTCTCTCCAGGATGAGGACCATATTTTTTTTTAGATTCTAGAATCCAGTTTCAGTCTCTCTCATAATACAGATATACTAGGGGCTCCTGGGTGGCTCAGTTGATTAAGCATCTGACTCTTGATTTCAGCTCAAGTCATGACCTCACGGTTCATGATATCGAGCCCTGAGTCAGGCTCCATGCTGGGAGGGTGGAGCCTGCTTGGGATTCTCTCTCTCTTCTCTCTTTGCCCCTCCCCTGCTCATGCAGTCTCTCTCTCTCTCTCTCAATATAAATCAATAAACTAAAAAAAGAATATAGATATACTAACGTGCACACGCACATACACAGTATGCACATAAACACATATAAGTGTCATGCAAATGCACATACATATGGGGCAGTAGCACAGGCACACAGACATGGGTTCCATTTCACCACTGACTAGCTGTGTGCCCATCAAGCAGGGATGTCGCGAAGCATCAGTTTGTTCATCTTTAAAATGGGATAATAATGCAGTGACGTTACACATACATTTGACACAACTCAGTTATATAAGCTTGATGTGACATTGTTTAGATACATTTTGTTTGAAATAGACTTCTGAATACAAGCCAACTAACTACTTCCTTTAGAGCCCAAGGTAACAGGAAAACTTAGCTATGTTGGATTTACTGAGAAATGGAATATCCGTACACACAGTCTAAGCAGTTCAATGGCTTTCTAAGGCTCTTTTTGAATATAGGAGATCCTCATATATAACACTGGGCTCTCATGTTACACTCGAATTGCCTCATAACATATTATTGGAAGGATTATATCAGATAATCTACATATAGCATTTAGTTCAATGCTTAACATGTGGTAAGCCCTTAGTAAATGTTATCTATTATTGTGGTTTTTAATAGAACTTTAATAATAGAAATAAGTACAGGTTTTACAGTCAAAGAAAGCCTGGTTTTCCATCCATTCTATGCCACTTTGTGGTTCTGTGACCTTAGACAAATGAGTCATAATCCCTAGCTGTAAAAAAGACGACTACTGACCTGAAATGAGGTGTCTATATATGAAGTCCCTACCTGAAGCACGTCTATATTACATGTTCGTTCGCCTTGTATGTGTGCGGGGTGCAGGTGGGGGTCACACGTATGCGCATATCTGCATATCTCTATCTATATGACTAGTAACAAACTGGGTTATCTGCTCACGCAGGCCGGAAGGAGATCTCAATTGAAAGAAAGCACAACTGGAATGCGCCACTTTTAAATGCTGAGAACAATGTGATTGCCCAAAGAAGAGATGCTGTGACTCATCGCATCCTCTCAGCAAGGCTCCAGAAGATTAAAGAGCTCAAAAACGAACTATGCGATATACGTCGTAAATTGGAAGCCACGGTCATAGAAAACCAATTTTTGAAACATCTTCAGCTTAGGCACTTGAAAGCAATAGGGAAATATGAGAATTCACAAAATAATCTACCTCAAATTATGGTAAAACATCAGAATGAAGTAAAAAACTTAAGGCAGCTACTTAGGAAATCCCAGGAAAAGGAAAGAAGCGCATCCAGGAAACTTCGAGAAACCGACAGTGAGCTGCTGAAGACTAAAGACTCCTTGCAGGAGCTGCAGAGGCTTTCTGAAGACAAAAATCTTGCAGAGAGGGAAGAACTCACTCAAAAATTGTCTGTTCTCACAACGAAAACAGAGGCAAACAACAAAAAAATACAGGTCCGTATTTCAGAAGCCTAGAAATTGTAATGTCCCAAGAACGATATGCAGAGTACACGTGTGTCACACTTGCCCCCGTGCAGTGAAGCATTCCCAGCTGCTTTGCTCACAGGCCACACCAGTGATGGCATCCAGTGCGGTGGGGGGGGGGGGGGGGGGGGGGGGGGGGGGGGGGATGTCCCTTCTGTTGTGGCCAGGCTCGTTTGTCTGGAAATGACCGTTCTGTAAGTGTGCTCATGTGCTGGAAAGGGGTTGGGTTGGGTTGTGTGAAACCTCTTAGAAGCCAACCTTCTTCTCCTCGAATCTGTTTATTAAAGACCCGCTTCCCTAAAAGCCTGCCCCCCCGCATCTCTCCAGCCCCTCTCCTTGCACTCCCCCTGGTCAGCTGTCTAGTCACTACCGCAGAGACATTGTTGGTAGGCTGGAAACAGAAGTGTTTCCCTGAGAATGCTCCTGGGAACTGAGCAGGGGGAAAGGAATTAAAATCATCAAATGAATGGGCTGATTTTCTAGAATAGCACGTGGGTGTCAAAGTCTTGGAGACTGCTCTATGAGGGATGATTTGGGGGAACATCCTGATTATACTGAGAATTTTTTGTGTGTTAGTTCTTGGTCTCTACGGACATAAACATAAATAAAATTAGGTTACTGTTTAATTCCTTATTATTTAAATGATGGTGAGAGGCAAGTATTTTTTACAAACTTGAAATAATAAGAAAATATCAAGTTCATTTCATCCACTTCCTTATTATTTATTTCTTCTTTGGTAAAAATCCTCTATTTTCAAGGAGAACTTCCTCCCACGAAGTGGATATGTGAACTACAGAAAATGACGAGCAGCCGCATTTTCAGTCACATAAATAATGTAGAAAAGTCCGATTATTTGGCCTCCTGTGTTAATAGCGGACCCGTGTTAGCTCACATCTGTCAAGTAAATGTAGTTGTATCTCACCTACCTATTTTTTATGTATACATGTGAATTAGTTCATGTTTTTTGTAGCTGTAACCAAAACCAAAAAGAATTCAAGAACCCTTTTCTTATCAGAAGCATTTGGTTGTGTGAGAAATGTGTGAGCATTTGGTTGTGTGAGAAATGCTTCTTATCAGAAGCATTTGGTTGTGTGGTCATGTTTTTTGTAGCTGTAACCAAAACCAAAAAGAATTCAAGAACCCTTTTCTTATCAGAAGCATTTGGTTGGTTGTAGGGCATTTGCTGGGGGAGAAAATGTTGACGAGCCAAACAAAACATGTCGGTATTTTTCTTTAGTGTTAATACTTTGGGGACTGGGATTTTTACTGATTATTTCATCCTCTCAGCTTACCATATTGCCCACTTTTCTTTAATGACAGAGTATTAATATTAATATGGTGGGAAATGCACTTAATGGGAAAAAAGACAAAAGGAAAGAAAAGGCCTTTTGGTCAAGCCTCTGTCAAAGTCCAGATCAAAGAGTTCTGCAAAAAAACTGCTGAGGAGGCGCACCAGTGAGCCCTGGGCACGGATGGCCTGCAGCTGCCCAACCTCTCCTGGTCTGAGAATTCCTTTAGCCCTGGGGAGGGAATCCCTGACAGGGAATTCCTTTATCCCGGGGGGGGGGGGGGGGAGGGGGGGCTGTGACCCCTGCGGGAGCTTCCGGGACCAGGCATCCGAGACTCACGAGACTCACGCATGCGCGGCTGCCCTGCTGCTGGCCCGCCCCCCGGCGGACGAGGCGGGCCAGGGCCCGGTGCGCACCTGCAGCGTTAGCAGGTCTTGGAGTTGGCACAGCCACCTGGGTTGAGTTTTAAAGCATGGCGTTGGTTATATTTATTAATTTTCAGGAAGTGTTCAAAGGTTATGTTTTTAATCAAAATCAGGGGTGTGAAAATCATTGGGTTCCAAACATATTTATTCTCTAGAGTTGGAACATGTGGGTTTTTCGGCTTTTGTATTTGTGCGTGTGGTTATGTTCAGCTCTAACATATGTCCCCTGCACCGGTCGTGCGCTAAAGTTGTATTAAGTTAAAACTGTGCACTTCTCGTAAATGCAATTAGTTCCATTACAGCTGAACTTTGTTAACAATACTACATTGGTTACAGAAGAGTTAAAATATATACTGTTTTCAGAGCTTGGAAAAACAGTTGAGGCTGAACAATAGAGTCTTTAATCGGCAGTTGGCCACTGAGAACCGGAAGACGTTAGCAGCCCAGGGAGCTACAAAGACTCTGCAAATGGAAATAAAACGCCTTCAACAAAAACTTAAGGTACTTCTTTAAAGCAAAATGTAACAAAATTTGTTCAGTTCTGCTTCCCAAAATATCAGAGCTATTCTTTAAATTATTTAACTTTGGGAATCTTTCTCAAATTAACTTTTTCCCTAGACCATTGGAACAGATAGAGGATCTGAAATTACGAGGGTGGGTTCACAGCCTGGTGAGCGTGTGCTGTCACTAGAAGTTAAAGCTCTACACTCTTCATTAACAAAACTTCCTGTTTCCACCCCCACTTCATCCCATGAATTAATATTACTGTATTTCGTTACCATCTTAATGGAAGCCAAAATAAGTTTTCAAATTTGGAAATTAACTTACATCATTAAAATATTTAGTCATTTTAATGGCCCACAAATTCACTTTAAGGCGTACTTGAATTGGGGCGCCTTGGCTGGCTCAGTTGGTTAAGTGCCCAACTCTTGATTTTGGCTCAGGTCACGATCTAATGGTTGTGAGATCAAGCCCAGTGTCAGGCTCCATGTTTAGCAGGCTCCATGCTAAGCACGGACCCTGCTTGGGATTCTCTCTCTCTTACCCTCTCTCTCTGCCCCTCCCCTGCTCACACTATCTCAAAATAAAAAGAAACATTTAAATAATAAATAAAATCTACTTGGAAATGCTTGCAAAACTGTCTTTTAAAGTGTGCTTTAGGGGCACGTGGGTGGCTCAGTCGGTTAAGTGGCCGACTTCAGCTCAGGTCGTGATCTCACCATTTGTGAGTTCAAGTCTGTGTCAGGCTCTGTGCTGACAGCTCGGAGCCTGCAGCCTGCTTCGGATTCTGTGTCTCCCTCTCTCTCTGCCCCTCCCTTGCTCACCCTCTGTCTCTCTCTCTCTCAAAAATAAATAAACAGGGGCGCCTGGGTGGCGCAGTCGGTTAAGCGTCCGACTTCAGCCAGGTCATGATCTCGCGGTCCGTGAGTTCGAGCCCCGCGTCAGGCTCTGGGCTGATGGCTCAGAGCCTGGAGCCTGTTTCCGATTCTGTGTCTCCCTCTCTCTCTGCCCCTCCCCCGTTCATGCTCTGTCTCTCTCTGTCCCAAAAATAAATAAACGTTGGGAAAATAAATAAATAAATAAATAAATAAACAAACATTTTATTTAAAATGTTTTTAACATTTATTATTGAGAGAGAGAGACAGAGCATGAGCATGGGAGAGGCAGAGAGCAGGAGACACAGATTCCGAAGCAGGCTCCAGGCTCCGAGCTGTCAGCACAGAGCCCAGTCGTAGGGCTCCAACCGACAAACCGCGAGATCGTGACCTGAGCCAAAGTCAGCCGCTTAACCGACTGAGCCACACAGGTGCCCCAATAAATAAACGCTATAAAAAATTTTTAAATGTGCTTTAA